CACAGTGAGGGGAGAGACAGGAGGCTCACTGGGGCTCTATGGCTGCCAGTCTAGCTCCCACCACGGGAGTTGCTGTCTCCGGGGAGTAAATAGAGGATATCTACACCCCCACATGTGTACACACATCCTACACACACACACACACACACACACACACATTCATACACGTACATAATTTAAAAAGAGATGATAGCTCTTGCCTAAGAGAGGGGGAAGAGGGAGAAGGAGCAAGGACCAGTGTGACAGAAGAACTCAAAGTGCTCAGTAAAAAGCCACCAGAAATCAAGACAGTGACACCAGAGCATAAAACTGAGCATCAGCCTTACTGCGACTGGCGGGCCATGGCCAGAGGCATGGTGCTCGTTGCCCATAAAGAGGAGACTCAGACTTCTGCGCTGGGCTTACCCAGATCCCTGGGTGGGCTCAAGGGTGCTTTCCTTGCTCTAATTTCATCAGTGTGTTACAGTTTGGATCTTACAAAAACAAACACAGTTTAGCCAACTTCTTTTGTGTGTGTGTGACATTAATTTATGGTGTTCATGTGTACATACATACACCTGTGTGCATGTGTGGAGAGGTCATAGGACAACTTCCGCCATGAGGGTGCTGGGGACCGAATTTAGATCATCAGCCTTGACAACAAGAGGCTTTACTTGCCAGGCTGTCTCATCAGCCCACATGTGTGTGTGTTTGAACTCTGGCTGACCTGGAACTCAGTTCTGTACACCATATTGGCTTTGGACTCAAGGTGATCTTGGCTTTGGCTCCCAAGCACTAAGATGACAAGTGTGTGCCACCATATTTGACTTTTGGAGGTTTTGATCGTTTTATTTATACTTCAAACAGCTGCCCCTTTTCTTTCTTTTTTTTTAAAAAGATTTTATTTATTTATTATGTATACAGTGTTCTGCCTACATGTTTGCCTGCAGGACAGAAGAGGGCACCAGACCTCATCATAGATGGTTGTGAGCCACCATGTGGTTGCTGGGGATTGAACTCAGGACCTTTGGAAGAGCAGCCAGTGCTCTTAGCCTCTGAGCCATCTCTTCAGCTCCACACTACTTTTTTTTTTAAATCTTTTTAGTATTTACATGTACATGTGTGTGCCACATGTGTGTGGGTTGCCACAGAGACCAGAAGAGGGCCTTTATTTCCCTGGAGCTGAAGTTACACGCACTCTGAACTGCAGAGCCATCTCCAGCCCCTCAAGGCACCTTCTTTAAGCTGGTTACCTTACGATTAACACTATCTGCCCGTCCTTGGTAAACTGCTTACCCTCCTGGATTTCAGGTGTTGTCATCTGCAAAAGAGAGGTAATTGTATCTCACAGGCCAACTGTAAGCATTAAACACAAAGAGCTTTGTGGTGTGTGGCCTAAGAGATCAAAACCAGAGCCTCATACATGCTAGGCAGGAGCTGTCACTAAGCTATACCTCCAACATATGAAAAGCATGCTCTTCACCTACTCTCTCTCTCTCTCTCTCTCTCTCTCTCTCTCTCTCTCTCTCTCTCTCTTTCTCCCCCCCTTCTCTCTCTCCAGGTTACTACCATACCCAGGCTGCCCTCAACTCTCTATCCCCAGACTCCTGAGTACTGGAACTACGGGTAGGCGCTACATGCTTGAAAGACAATTTAGTCTTTAAAAAGTTTTTTTTAAACTTTAAAAACAATCTTTTTTAAAATTTTACGTACCAATCCCAGTTCCCACTCCCTCCCCTCCTTGTGATACCCTCAAAAGATGTTTTTTTCTTTTCTTTTTTTTTATTAAAATTTTTATTTTAAAAATTAAATTCAAATTAGAAACAAGGTTTCTTCACATGTCTCAAAAGATGTTTTTAAATGTCTATTTGCTTAGTTTTGGGGAACAGGGTCTCTCTATATAGCTCTGGCTATCTCAGAACTTCCTATGCAGACCAGGCTGGCCTCAAACTCGCAGAGATCCTTTGAGCTCTGCCTCCGGAGTGCTGGGATTAAAGGTGTGCACCACTATACATTTTAGTCTTTTTGTTTTTTTGAGACAGAACCTCATTATGTAGCCCTGGCTGTCCTAGAACTCACTCTGTAGACCAGGCTGGCCTGTCTCTGCCTCCCAAGGGCTGGCATTAAAGGAATGTGTCACGAAGCTGGGCTCTACATTTTAGTCTTAAAGTCAGGGTTAGGGTTGTAGTTTAATGGTGGAGCATTTGCCTAGATTGTGCCACAAGACACCGGGCTGATCCCTAACATGCTTATGTATGTGTGAGCGTGTTAAGGTTAGCAAAAATGCTAAGTAGTGTCAGCACATGTAGACTGTTCAGCAGGGGCTCTGCTTATTTGGATAAGAGATTTGGGAGCAGCCTTAGCTTGACAAACCTTCTCTGGCCCCACCCAATATCCTGGACTCTGATGTGTTAACCATCAACTTCTGATCTGTGTTCACCAGTGTCTCCTCCCAGGAGCTCCCCTCCACTTCCCCACATCTCAGATCCCAGAATAATAATCCGTTGTAAAGTACCCTCCTGGGTACTGTGCGGCTGCCGGGGTTAATAGTCCCCAGCTAAACCAAAAACCCTTATTCTGGATGTGAAGGCCAACGGGAAGCAGACAACTAGTGTCATTCATCTGTGACATACAACGCTCTCGGGGACACTCTGTTAAAACATGAAGGCACACACATTCGTCAAGAGCAAGGAATGGCCGTAAGCTCCCATGTGAGGCAGGCTTCCCCTGCTGAGGGAGTTGAGTGTGGGGAATCCATGAGCCTCAGACTTTTGCACAGGCTGGAAAATGCCCTGTGAGGGAATGACCTTCAGCCTTATTTGCTGCCCAGTGACCTTGGGTCCGGAGCTCTGCTGCTCTGCTGGTGTTAAGAGTTCCCCTAAGGAATTCACTTGCCTGAGCGGCAGCCTCGGCCAAAGAATAAGCAGTGTCGGGGAACAATGTTGTGAGGAGACTGGATGACTCTTTTGTCAGGGCTTTCTCCAGCCTGCACACCTTCTCTAAGGGCTTCTCTAACATTCTGCTGCTGGTGAATGTCAAACAAGACTCCCCTGCCTCAAACCTCTCAAGTGCTGGGATTATGGGCATGTAGTAATTTGTTTGTTTGAGACAGCGTTTCTCTGTGTCATAGCCCTAGCTGTCCTGGAACTTGCTCTGCAAGACCAGGTAAGAACTCACACAGATCGTCTACCTCTGCCTCCCAAGTGCTGGGATTAAAGGTGGGCACCACCACTGCCCAGCCTGCACGTGGCTCCTTTAAGGATATTTTAACCCCCACTCTCACCCCCCACATACACTTTGACTTTTTGAGACAAGGTCTCTCTATGCAGTCATGGAATTTACTATATAGAGAACGTTATTCTCGAACTCCCAGACATCTGCCTGCCTCTGCCTCCCGAGTGCTGGGATTAAAGGTGTATGCCAGCATGCTTGGCAAAAATATTTCAGGTTTTGTTTTTGGAGACAGGGTACCTCCATGTAGCCTTGACTGTTCTGGAACTTGTTCTGTAAACCAGACTGGCCTTAAACTCAGATTCACTTGCCTCTGCCTCCTGAGTGCTAGGATTAAAGGTGTGTGCTACTGAAGGCAGGCATTTTTTTTAAAAGATGTAATTCCCATTATTTTGTCTAAGCTAACCTTGAACTCTGAGGCTCAAGGGATCCTCCAACCTCAGTCTCACAAGCTGCTTAGACTAGTCATTCATTCATTCATTCATTTTGCAGTGCTAGAGGTTGAACGTGGAGTCCCATGAATTCAGGGCAAACTTGTTACCAGAAAGCTACATTAAAGCCTGGATATAATTTCCTTTTAAATTATGTTTATGTATTTGGATCATGTGTATTTATGCATGCATGCATGCATGTGTCACAGCAGACATGTGAGATCAGCTTTTAAGAGGTTTCTTCTGCTACTATGCAACTATGGTGACTGAACTCTGGTAATCAACTTGACAGGCTTGAAAGCAATGCAAGAATTGCCTCTACCTGCTGAGACTGCCCTGGAGACTATGAATGTGCACGTGAGTATGTGTTCATGTATGAATATGTGTGTGTGTGTGTATATATATACATATATATATATATATATCTTTTGCTTTTTTTTTTTTTTTTGGTTTTTTCGAGACAGGATTTCTCTGTGTAGCTTTGGAACTTGTTCTGGCACTCACTCTGTAGACCAGCCTGGCCTCAACTCACAGAGATCCACCTGCTGCTGCCTCCCGAGTGCAGGGATTAAAGGCGTGCGCCACCAACTCCTGGCTCATCTTTCGAAGTTTTTTGAGTCTAGGTCTCATTATGTAGCCCTGGATGGAATGGAACTCATCATGTGGACTAGAGTGGCTTCAAATTCACAGGGATGTGCCCGTCGCTGCCTCCTGATCACTGGCACCTGAGGCATGTACCAATACAAATAGCTAAGCATTTTATCCTTTTTTTTTTTTTTTTTTTTGGTTTTTCGAGACAGGGTTTCTCTGTGGCTTTGGAGGCTGTCCTGGAACTCGCTCTTGTAGATCAGGCTGGTCTTGAACTCACAGAGATCCACCTGCCTCTGCCTCCTGGGTGCTGGTATTAAAGGCATGCGCCACCAACGCCCGGCCTGCATTTTATCCTTTAATGGTGAAATCCTAACTCATAGAAAGGAAAGTGGGGAACATTTCAGGGTGAATATACCTGCTGCTGGGTCTTAAAACCCCCAGTGGAACATGTAATCAGATTGTGACTTTTTGTCCCTAACTAAGTCACGTTCCATTGTGTAGTGATCCGTTGTCTACAGCCAAAAGATGGCTGAGTTGTGTGCCTCAGATACTCATTGCACCAGAGAGAGGCAATGGGGTGCTATGTTGAGGTTCTACCTGGGAAACTTGTCACCCAGGCCTCCGAATCACAACCTGCAGGCCAAATGAAGAATCACAGAAACCTGCAATGCCCGGATGCAGCAGGGCTCTGGAAATAGCAGCTGCAGCCACAAACCAAAGAACAGGCCTTTGTGAGCAGTCTGAAAGAAACTGTTTGTCCTCAGCTCATCTTCTAAGCCACAGAGAATCCCGTACTGTTGCTAACGTCTCCAAGGACAGGAGTCAATTATCCTAACATCAAATGTGTCAGTACGAAGCTTTACTTTCCTGTTAAATTTCCAGGCCCCTGCTTTTCCAATCAGGTAAGGAGGACGGGAGACCGCTCCCCCCAAGACTGGGAGGGGTCAGGCTCAGGATGAGCCCCGAGCCATGCAAGACGGGAAGACGACGAATCACCTTTGCCCTGTAGAACCCACACTCTGGGGAAGACCCGAGTTACACCCTGGCCCGGCATGTCTTTCAGGAACATTGGCCTCGCTCCAGCGGCTCACCGTACCTGCCCCACATCAACCGCTTTTCAGTTTTCAAAGAACATTGACCTTATCTCCTCAGCCAAATGGCTGGCACTTGACGGGGGAAGATAAATCGGTTTCAGGAACATTTCTCTGTGAGTGACATCTAGTCACTCTGCTTTCTGGGCAGCCTCATACCTGAAGCCACCTTCCCAGCCTGACCCAAGACCTTTTCCCACAGCTCAGCCAGGGCAGGGGTCTGGCTTAGTCTGCTCGTCCCTGCACAGCGCGTGCAAAGCCCTGAGGTTCAACCTTAGGCACTGGAAAAATAAATACAAACAATGGCTCTCAGACTTGGGCTGAGCCAGGCACTGAGGTCACCTTGAACATGCCATCCTCCTCTGTCCACCACTAGTGATTCTGAGTCTAAAACACTGCAAAGTCCTTCCCGGGGTTCTACATGGCCTTGCAGATGAAAGGTTGGAGGATTTAGCAGGTGGAAGGGAATAAAAGAGATCAGGAAGGGAAAGGGCTCCTCTTCTAAGCCCTAAACCCAAGGCAGTGTCAGAATGGGAATAAAAACTGTTCTTGCTCTCAAATGCTTAGGAGGCTCACACAGCTACCCATTCATTTCAGAAGTTAAATCAGACAGCATTCCAGGGACCCAGTGGTTTCCAGATTTAAATAAATTAGCGATCAGGATGAAAGAAGCTCTCTTCTCTCCACCAAGCAAAGGGGATGTTGGCAAGGGAGCGGAGAGGTGTAGCTGCGGGAACCAGGACAGCAAGGACAGACAGAAGGGAACCCGCAGTGGCTTAGTGTGGGGTGACAGTGCAGGGGAGGTAAGGAGAACACCCAGCAGTGGGTGGTGGCAGAGACTGGCGGTGCACAAGGGGCGGACCCAGCAGATGTGTATCATGGGGTCAGGCTCCCTCTCTGTGTGGTGTGTGTCCAGGCTCGTGTGGGTGTGTGCCGGTGTGCAATTGTGGAGGTCAGAGGCTGATGTTAGCTGTCTTCATTGATCAGGCTTGTCTCTTGGGGATTAAACCCAGGTTGTTAGGCTCAGCGGCAAGTGCCTGTATCACTGAATCAACTCACTGGCCAGGATCCTTAAAAAATAAAATTTGTGTGGTGGGTACCAGTGTGCACACACCTGTGTACCACAACATGCCTGACAATTGACAAAGCAGCCTGTAATCTTACAATGCCAAGGGTAAGGAAGCGAGAACTGTTGCAGGCTGTAGGTGACTTAAGCATAGTCACTAAGTTGCATACAGGAAGAGCTTTTGTGTGCTGAGGACACCAGAAAGGCCTAAATGGTCTACAGACAGTAGGAATGTCACCATGTTTCTACATGTGAGAGGCAGACTTGTGGTAAAGGAGGTATGTTTTTAGTTGCACAAATTATACATTAAAATATACAGGGCTGTAACATCTCCCCTTGTGACCTGCCTCATACGCCATAGGAAACTTTATTTGGGGAAATACTAGGGATTGAACCTAACGCCCAGCACTCTAGCGCTGACTGTGTCATCAGGTCTTTTGTGTTTGAGGGCCTAGGTTGTTCAGCTGGTTTTGAACTCAGTAGTCCAGAGGCAATCATCATGCCTTAGTGTCCACCTTAGTGTCCAGAGGGAGTTGTTGGGGAATGAGTGTGCCACCACGCCCAGTGTTCTTGCACTGTATTTTTCTTCAAGTTTGTTAAGACTTAATGCGCTCTCTCTCTCTCTCTCTCTCTCTCTCTCTCTCTCTCTCTCTCTCTCTCTCTCTCTCTCTCTCTCTTTCTCTCGTTTGTTTTTCAAGACAGGGTTCCCAAATGCTGGTATGACAGGTGTGCACCACGACAACTCAGGCTGCTCTTAACCCTTTCTGCTCTTCCTTATGGAAAGTATCCCCATTTTCCAAACACTTAAATTCCTGAAAAGATGCCTGTCTTGCCATGTTTTCTTGGGAACGGACACAACAGTGAGGCAATTACGGGAACATTTCAGTTGAAAATCTGAAATAAAATTCCTTATTTGCTAAAATTACAGACACACCCTATCGATGCATGCATAACCTAATGGAAGATGCAAACCCAGAAACCACATGACGATTGCGTTCAAGTGATAGTGAACACTATTCTCTCAACTGCCATTGAAGCAGGTATTTAAGGGCGCAACAAAAAGGAGACAATTTTGCTAATGATTTTTTAGGCAGTCTGTGTGGTAGTGTGAAGGTAACTGGCCCCCATCATCTCACAAGGAGTGGCTTTGTTGGAGGGAGTGTGGCACTGTGGGGCAGGATTTCAGGTTTTCTGTGTTCAGGATACTTCCCAGAGTCTCAGCTGACTTCCTGTTGCCTGCAAGATGCAGGACTCAGTTACTACTCCAGCACCACTTCTTCCCGAATGCCGCCACGCTCCCCATTATGATGACAACTGACTGACCCTCTGAAACTGTAAGTGAGCCACCACTAATAAATGCTTTCTCTTGCGTTCATATACACCTTAGCACCAGGATGGGAAGGCAGGAGAATCCAAAGTTCAAGGGCACTTGTGGTTGCAGAGTTGAGTTTTCCTATTTATAAAATTCTAGGTATTAGAAATTTGAGGGCCTAGGGTTAGAGAGATGGCTCAGAGGCTAAGGGCATTCACTGGCTGCTCTTCCACAGGTCCTGAGTTCAATTCCCTGCAACCACATGGTGGCTTCCAACCATCTATAATGAGATCTGGTGCTCTCTTCTGGTGTGTAGGTATACATGCAGGCAGAACACTGTATATGTGATAAATAATTTCTATAAAAAATTGAGGGCAAATCCCAGTACTCGGGAGGCAGAGGCAGGCGGATCTCTGTGAGTTCGAGGCCAGCCTGGTCTACAGAGTGAGTTCCAGGACAGCCTCCAAAGCCACAGAGAAACCTTCTCAAAAAACCAAAAAAAGAGGGCTATTGAAAAAGCTCAAGGATGTTTACAGTCAAGCCTAAATTGGAACCCCAGGACCAACATAGAGGAGAGAGCTGATTCTCTAACACCTGACAAGCTGTCCTCTAAACTCCACACATTTATCACAGCATTGCCCCCACTAAATATAAATAATAACAACAACAAATGAACTTGAGAAAGTAAGCATATATTAATGGGCTTCACAAACAAAAACCACAATTGTTAACAGAAAGCAACTGTTCCTAGGTTGAAGGTTTGAGCTCCTTGGATTTCCAGACCGATGTCCAACATCAACAAGCTGCTATTTACAGAGGTCTCCTTACAACAGCCCGAAACACGATGCCCTCATGTTGCGTGGGGCGTGGACACCTCCCCGTTGGCAGTGGGCAGGAGAGGCTTGCTGTATTTGCACTGAATCCACACTCGGTACATCGTCAGCTGTTTGCCTCGGTTCACCTGCAAGCGGCGATCCACCAGGTTCTGCACCTTCTCCAGACCCGCAGCCGTGAAGAGCGCATCCAGCTCATCTGGTTTGGAGAGAGCAGATGTTTAAGGATTTTCTGCTGGAGGAAGGGCAGTTTGCTGATGGCTGTGTTAATTGGAGCTCTGAGACAATGTAGTCAGAGTGCTTTTAAAGAGGCCTTGCAGCATTGGTAGGTCCAGGCTTGGGTACCAAAGCCCTTGAGGAGAAAGGCCTACAACGGGGAGGAGTTTTAAGATGGAAAGGCTACAGGGTGTGCTTCTTGCATTCATGTGTAGGTGCACATGTGTGTGGGGGTCAGAGGGCTCCCTCTGACGCCATCGTTTAGGCCTCTCACTAGCCTGGGACTTCCCAAGTAGGCTAGAATGGCATGTCTGCAAGTCCCAGGGACCCTCCTGTCTCCTTTCCCAGAGTTGGGATTACAAGCACGTATCTCCATGCTCCTAGTCCAGTTCTTTTTTTTAACTAATTAATTTCTAGCCTATCACAGTTTCCTTCCTTTCTCCCTCCCTCCTCTCCTCTCAGTTCTCCCTACTGGTCCAGTTTTTAAAGATCCCCAAGGGTTCTACAAACACTACAAAGCTACATGAGGGACTGGACAGTAGATAAGAGCACGGGCTGCTCTTTCAGAGGACCCAGGTTCTCTTCCCAGCACCAAGGCTGTGACTCAGAATCATCTGCAGTTCTAGTTCCAGGGCCTCTAACACCCTCTTCTCGTCTCTGAGGGCACCAGGCATGGATGTAATACACAGACACACATGCAGGCAAAAAACCAAAACCAAAACCAACCAACCAACCAAACAACCAACCAACCAAAAAACACATAAAATTGACAGATGTATATGTCATGACAAAGTTTTAGGAACAATTTTCAATGCTAGGCTCCAAGTGTATGACTTGACTTAACAAAGGCCTCAGAATATTCTTAACAAGTTGGGGGGGGTGAAGCCTGTGACTGGGCAGATTACAGAGCAGGTCCAGGTCACCTGGAGTCAAGGGACAATGACTCACCAGCATAGCTGTGTTGAAGCACAGTCTGGTGCAGAGGGCAAAACAGACCAGGCTGGAGCCTGCAAAAAGCGCCGGCTCCCACTTTGGATTAGTGAAAGGCAGCTGACCGCGAGTCAGCACAAGTCAGAGGTGTCTGGGAAAGTGACAGCTCAGGGTAGATAACGGTGTGTGTGAGAGGCAGAGTCCCTAGAGAGGCAGGAGGGTCAGGTGACTAAGAACGTGCAGTTATCTATCTACCTGACCTGGCATACCAACTGCCTTTAGCACTGATAAAAAATATATTTTTCGTACCTTGTGTGAAGAAGTAAACTCTGGTGCCATCACCTCTCACATAGAAATTTCCAGAGAGACACTGACCTGTGTTACATGACAAAAACAGAAACATTAACATACTTAATAAAAAAAAGTTTATTATTTTTAAGCTTCTGGATATGGGCTTGTGTCTGAATGCGTTGTATGCATTACGGAGCTAAGAGAGAGTTCAGGAGTGTCAGATTCCCTGGAATTGTGAATTCTGGGAAGTTGTGAGCTGCCCAATGTGGGTGCTGGGAACTGAACCCAGGTCCTATGCAAGAGCAGTAAGTGCTCTTATTGGTTCAGACTTCTCTCCAGTCCCTAAAGAACTTTGAATTTCATCATTTAGCAAATGTGAAACAGGCTAAGTGTGGTGGTTCATACTCACAATCCCAGCATTTAGGAGGCTCTGGCAGGATGACTGGCAGAGTTCCAGGCTATCTAGGATACAGAGTGAGACCCCATCTCAACACCCAACACCTTCCCATCAACAGGCATTCAGAAAACCAGATGTGCATTTTTGGTGACACACTGATACGTCACAGGAACTTGCAATTAATTTCCTACAAAGGCACAGCACTTCAGCAAAGAGCTGAAGTGGGAAAAAACAAAACCAGTATCAGATAATGTGATTCCTAGCTGAGTTCTAGATTGCACCACCACGACCCACACTCAGCTTAGTTTGAAAAACAATTGGGGCGGGAGAGATGGCTCAGAGGTTAAGAGCATTGACTGCTCTACTAGAGGTCCTGAGTTCAATTCCCAGCAACCACATGGTGGCTCACAACCATCTGTAATGAGATCTGGTGCCCTCTTCTTGGTGTGCAGGAATATATGCAGGCAGAACACTGTATACATAATAAATATTAAAAAAAGAAAAAGAAAAACAACAATCAATGTAACTGATTCTTAACTAAGTGTCCACATACACTTGTGAGAACTCACACTGTTTTCACGTGGACAATCCTTCCCTTCTGCTCATCCCTCCAGTCTTACAACCTTCATGTAATTCTACATTTTTTTTTCTGTTTTGGTTTTTCAAGACAGGGTTTCTCTGTCTTGAAACAAATTAAAACAACCAACCAACCAAACCGAACAAACAACGGCTGTTCTGGAATTCACTGGCCTCAACTCACAGAGACGCTGGGATTAAAGGCGTGTGCCACCACTGGCCGGTATTAAAAAAAAAGATTTTATGAGTATTTTGCTTACATGTATGTCTCTGCACTAACCACATGCTTGTCTGGTGACTGTTGAGACACGCCATGGACTGCTGGAAACTGAACTTGGGTTTTCTCCAAGAACAACCAGTGCCCTTAACTACTGAGCATCTCTCCAGACCCCCACGTACCTTTTTTAAACCGAAGCTGAGCCATGTCATAGCGGCCATAGTCTCGAAGAAGCATTACCCCTCCAGGCTTCAGGAGTCCGCTCAGCCTGTTGATAGCTTTCTGCATCCTGCACGGCAGCAGGGAATGAAGCTTAAGTCTCCATGGGGACGGAGTTTCCTCTCCTATAGCACAAAACCCAAAGCAACACTTCCTAACTCTGACATCAACATTAAAGGCCAACCCCTATGTGTCACATGGTGGTAGACATTTCAAGTACTAAACTGGGCTCATTTTCTCCTGGCCCTGTGATTGTCACCCCTGCTATGTGCTCCTGTAGCTTTCTGGGAGCCCTGACCATAGTCTAGGAATAACCATGACTCATCTGTCTTTCTATTAAGTGAAAAGCTCTCCTTTAGAATCTCTGTGAGTTCGAGACCAGCCTGGTCTGAAGATTAAGTTCCAGGACAGGCTCCAAAGCTACACAGAGAAACCCAGTCTCGAAAAACCAGAGTTCTAAAAAGTCTACACACAGCCAACTCCTGGCTTACTTGGTGCTGCATACAGCAGGCAAGTGGGGGAGAGCTTCCATTTGTACAGTGATGTTCCCTGAGGCCCACATGCTGAAAGCATGGCCTCTTCCTGGGACTACTAGGTGGTAGATACTCAAAGGGTGGGGCCTTTAGGTCACTGGGAAACATGTGTGGGTGCCCTGGAAGGGGACTGTGGGATTCTGTTTCCTTCCTCTCTTCTTAGCCCCTGACCATGGGGTGAGAGATTTCATTCTGGAGATGATGTGCTGCCTTGCTGAAGGTGTAAAAGTCCGCCCACTTCCAAAACAGAAGCCAAAGTAACCTTCTCTTTATTTACTCTTTGAGACAGGTTTCTCTGTATCAGCCCTGGATGTTCTGGAACTCGCTCTGTGACCAGGCTGGCCTCTAACTCACACACATGCGCCTGTCTCTGCCTCACTAGTGCTGGGATTAAGAGTGTGCGCATTCTCCAATAGTCTGGCACAGGATTAAAGTATTTACAGCACCTGAAGCATATATATATGCTACACAAAACATTTCAAAGCCTTACCATATTCCTGTGAGGCCAGAGAACCGTATTGCTAATCTAGAGGAAAACCGGCTACCTCAGTTCGGTTATCAGTCAGCAGTGCCTGAATCTTACAGCCATCATCTTTATAACTGACTCCATCTCCTCCAGTGGACAGTTTCATAGGGTTACTGGCTGCCTGATACAGGTTTTGTTTTTAGAGATGGGCTCTTTCTATGTTGCCCAGGTAGCCCTTGAACCCCAGGGCTAACTCCTGCCCACCGAGACCACAAGCACATGCTACTATGCTTCCTTCTTTTGTTTTCTTGGTTTAGGGACTAAACCGAGAGCTCTGTGCATGGAAAGCACAGACTCTACCACGGAGCACACACCCTCAGAAAACCATGCAAAACATGTGCTGTGTACTGAACTGTGTCACCAGCTACCTGCTCATGAAATTACAAAAATGTATTACATTTATTTACTGTGTGTGTCTGGATGTACATATCACATGTAAAAGTCAGAGTAGAATGTTCAGAGTCCTTCCACTGAGTAGAATGTTCAGTTCTCCTTCCACTGAACCCCGGGGATTGATCTCATGTCGGTGGCAAGTTTCTTTACCTGCTGAGTCATCTTACTGACCCTACATGAAGTTGTAAAATAGTATTTTCAAAATAAAAATAGTTTGTTCTTTTATGTATATAGATGCTTACATGCATGAATACCTTATATGTATAGTGCCCATGAAAGCCCATGAAAAGTGGATGTTGTATCCTTGGACCTGGAATTACAGATGGCTGTGAGTCACCATGAGGGGCTGGGAAACAAACTCCAGTCCTCTGTCCAGCAGCCAGTGCTCGTAACCACTGAACCACCTCTCCAGACCCTTTAAAAGGATCTTCCCCAGCCCCCTTTCATATCAACCTGACTTTATGGAATGCTGTATTTCAGCTTTCCTAAAAACATAAGCACATGCCCTTTATCCCGGCACTCGGAAGGCAGAGGCAGTCAGATCTTTGTGAGTTTGAGGCCAGTCTGGTCTACAGAGTGAGTTCCAGGACAGCCAGGGCAACACAGAGAAACCCTGTCTAAAAAAAGCAAAAATCAAAAACAAAAAAGTAAGCACCAGAAAACACATTAGTCTAGTTGTGTAAATTTTGGTATGTTAACAACCTTGTCTTGTTTCAACATTTAAAAAGTCATTAATGAGAGGGCCCTCTTAGCCCCGAAGCAGCTGGTGCTGAGTTGACTAGGTGGGAATCTGCCTGACACACACTCCTCACAGACTTAGCTCCCAACAGTGAAAGCAGCAGGCAGTCCAGTCAGCAGGCAGAGGGCTAAAGGCTGAAACAGAAGGTGGACGTCAACACTACAGCTACATGGCTTCTATGTCTATCTGATATTTTTATTTGCCCTTTTTATTTAGGGCATAATCGGAGCTTAAGATCTCTTAATTAAAGGTTCTTCTTAGGCTATTAGTTAAGGGACCCAAAACTTACTTGTCTGGGACAATTGCTGAGAGAACAAATATAAGAACAATGACATCAAGGCTGTCCTTGGGCATCGGGTAACTCTGATCTTCATCACATAGGTCATGAACAAAGGCAAAACATCGAGAAGGATCATACTCTGAATTTGTCTGCAGAGAGGCAGAGGGACAAATGGGTCAGAAATGTGGGCACAGCACAAAGACAGTCTTACCTGGTTTTCAATGTCACTACTGTTCCTCCCAGCAAAGAGTTTACCCCTAGTTACCATGGTGAGGCTTTCCAGGGTACCCGGAGTGTAAGAATCAGAACTGGCCATGGTGCACATCTGAGATTCTAGTACTTGGGAAGTGGTGGCAGAAGGATCAAGGTTTACACAGCAAGTTCAAGGTCATCATGAGGTACACGAGACCCTGTCTTAAAAAATAAAGGACAAAAAATGCTGGGAGGCGGGGTTGGAGATGTGGCTCAGGGGTTAAGAGCACAGCACACTGCTCCCGCAGAGGGCCTGAGTCTGACTCCCAGCACCCATGCCTGGCAGCTCACAACTGCTGCAACTCCAGCTCCAGAGAAGCCAAGCCTCTGATCCCGGGACACCCCTAGCAATCGCTCACACAGACACAATTTAAAGTCTGCAGAGGTCTACACGACAAGCCCAAGGTCTAGCTAAGTGCCAGATTCAGCTTCCTTGCCTGCTCTGTACTCCAGACCGCTTCACTAACTTTCCCAACTTTCAGGCCACAACGACGGAGTCAACGAACTGAGTTTCAGGAGACCCTCTTTTCTTTTAATTAGGGGAGATTACTGCAGGAGTCACTGCACTCACCTTGACCAGTTCAATAGCAGTGGCAGAAAAATCACAACAGTAAACGAAGAGGTTTGGGTTACTGAAATAGGCAGAAAAAAAACAACACATCAATTAGGACACAAACCGGATTATGTCTGTTCTCTTTGTAGAGTAGCAAAGTCAAATGACAAAGAATACCACTCATCCAAATAAACTGTACCTATTAGTCACAGCACCGAGCATTCTGGCTAAAATTCTGTGATCTTTATCTTTTTTTTTAGGTCATGTGAGTATGGCTAATACTAAGTTTATCAAACCATCAGTAAGAAACCTTGTCAGCTCTAAGCAAATATCACATTAACAAGTGGGTTCCATTAATCTTAGTTAAGTGGCAGTCAGTGGTCAAAGGCACTTGCTGCATAACCATGAAGACAGAGTTCAGACCCCAACACCCTCACAATCCCCGAGAGGTCAAGACACTCTCATTTGAAGTGAATTACTGACACCCAAAACAGAATCTCTTTCTATACTCAAAGCTCCAAGACCCGAACATTCTCTGACAAGCTTCTGGCGATAACCTTTGACCTTTTGTTTCTGAGGCAGGGTTTCAGGTACCCCAGATATGTCTTGAACTTGTCATGCAGCCAGGGCTGACCTTGAACTTGACGATCCTCCCACTTGTACCTCTTGAGTACTGGGGCTACAGGTGTGTGCTACCCTGCTCAGCTTTATGAGATGTCAACTGAACCCAGAACTTCGCGAATGCTAGGAAAGCATTTCATCAGTTGGGTGACATCCCTAGCCCAATAAAATGTTATAAGAATTTACATTTAGGCCGGGCAGTGGTGGCGCACGCCTTTAATCCCAGCACTCGGGAGGCAGAGGCAGGCCGATCTCTGTGAGTTCGAGGCCAGCCTGGTCTACAGAGCGAGTTCCAGGACAGCCTCCAAAACAATACAGAGAAACCCTGTCTCGAAAAATCAAAAAAGAATTTACATTTAATTATGTTGTGTGTCTGTGTTCTGAGGTCAGGCAATAACTTGAGAGAGTCAGTTCTCTCCTTCCACTGTGTTCTGGGAATCGAACTTAAGTTGTCAGGCTTGACAGCAAGCACTCACTGGCCATCCTCCTGGTTTGGAACTCATTAGGTAGACCAGGTTGGCTCAGAGATTTGCTTACCTCAGCTGGAATTAATACTGTGGACTAAACTGGCAAAACTATTTAGATAGACCTTTCAACAATAGTGGGTTCTCTCCATCATCTGTGTTTTGGGATATTTTGATTGTACTCTACACTCCCAAGACTTGCCAATAATGTTAAACCTTGAACTAGGGAGAAGCAGAGCCAGCAACTAGCTGATACAGAATCTGCCATAGAGAAGCCAGCAATTAGGATAGAGAGGACACAAGTAGGAAAGGGCAGGGACTAGAGTTTGAACTTCCCTTTTGGGTTCTGGGATGAGGGAAGAGATGTGTCTCTTGTGGTATCTCCAGCCAAAAAGCAAGATCAGCTAGTTGCTACTCAATCTCTCTGAGCTAGCAGGTTTTCACCCCAGTCTTTGATTACCAAGTCTTATTAGTAAATAGACTGATAAAGACTTAATTTAAACCTGTTTAGAACCAGAAGCCCCACTAGGCGTCAGCCGAGTGGTCAGCAGGTAACTGATTGTGGGGCCATGGAGCTGAAGACATTAAAATATCAGTAGATTCAGGTGCAACTGCTAAGCTGACAGAAAACATTACAACTGAAACTAAATGTCATTTCCACAGATGCTTTGAAATGTGGTAAGAAACACACAGTTTCCAGGGCAGGCTCCTAAACTCTAGGGACTTCCTGAAAGGCAGTATTAAGTTTAGGGTCTGCTGGGCAGTGGTGGTGCACACCTTTAATTCTAGCGCTTAGGAGGCAGAGGCAGGTGGACCTCTGTGAGTTTGAGGCCAGCCTGGTTCCAGGATAGGCGCCAAAGCTACACAGAGAAACCCTGTCTCAAAAACAAACAAACAAAACAAACAAACAAACAAACAGGAACATCTAGGATCTAGGTAATCTCAAAGAGGGCCAGCACTTAGAGATGCCATGATTTGAGAGTTCTAAAGATTTTAGTCCTCATCCTGTGTATCTCTTCATCTGGCTATTCCCTGCACCGTTACAATACCCCTGATTATGAACAGTAAAGCCAGACAAATCTTTTTTTTTTTTCAAGAAAGGGTTTCTCTGTGGCTTTGGAGGCTGTCCTTGAACTCACAGAGATCCGCCTGCCTCTGCCTCCTGAGTGCTGGGATAAAAGGCGTGTGCCACCAATGCCTGGCTAAGCCAGACAAATCTAAAGGGATTGTGGACTGTCCTGGCTCACAGCATACTGGAAGTATGAGCCTATGTTTGCAGCTAGAATCCCAAGTGGGGAAGTCTTATATGACCCAGCCTTTACCCTGTGGGATTTGACACTAACCCTAGGGAGACAGAATTGGACCCGAACCACAGGACACCTGGATTTTAGCTGTAGATCCTGTTAGTTCAGACAAAATTCCACACTCCTGGTGTTGCAGCACTGCATGTGTAAGTGTACAGATGCAGATTTTCAGAAGAATTAGAGACAATTTCATGTAGGCCAGCTGTCCCACCTTGACCTCAGGTAAGAAGTGACAACCTAACAGAGCTCACAGAGAAACAGAACATCTTTTAGGTCCCTCAGTGGAAGGTATCACAGATTAGCACTACAGCTGGTGTTAACTCTAATTTCACTAACATTAAATTAAAGCCACCCCTACATGGGTAACATAGCCATCTAAATCCCAAATAACTCATGCTTCCAGGAGCAAGCTCTTACTTCTCCTCTTTGTGGTCCATAAACCTGACATCATACTTACTTGTTAGTTTGCAAAATTGGAAAGACTGTGTTTCCTACACCACAACCAACCTGCAGACAGAAACGAACCATTAGTCCCAGAAGTTGCTAATTAAACCCCCCCCCCCCTTTCCACCATCTTCTTTTTAAAGCAGAGTCCAGGCTGGGCTATAACATGGCTTTCCTGCCTCAGCCTCCTGAGTACTGGGATTACAGGCACTATCATGCCCAGCTTTTAAGAACTGTATTAGGAAAGGTCTAGTGACCAGAACTAAATAGGACCCATGACATTTCCCTATCCCTCATGGACTATAATTAAATAGGTAGTAAAAGACAAGAACACGGGCTTTCACTGGCTGGAGAAAGCTGCTCGGAAAAAAAGGGCATGGGCTGGTTTTACTCTCCGCGCTCCAGCAGACAGTCCTTAGACACACCACTTTCCCAATGAGCTTCACTGCACCATTACTAGAGAGAAGCCTGCAGGGTCTCTGTGACCTCCATGGCCAACAGAGACCATTTGGGAGGCAAGAAGGCAGCTCAGTTCAACACGACTGAGTAGCTGGTGTTACTTCAGTCCTTGGGAGTCTGACCCTGAGTGGTTTATTTATAATTTAAGCATGGCACAATTTGGTGGAAACTTTTCTGGTGACAACCCCACAGGTATAATAAAGCACACATAAATGTCTTTGAGGGACAAAGTAAGCTAAGTAAAGATCCAACGTGAGTACACTGAAGCTCTGTAGAGTACACGTGACAACTTCTACAAGGATAATTCTATAGACTGAGAAAAAGAAGCTCATGATATGGGGGGAGGGGCTGGGCTAGGTGTGCTCACCATGCTATTAACACTTCTGCTCCCAGCCTTCTGGGCAGGTGACAGGCACTGCATTCTTCCCTTGAAGGAACAACCCTGAATGCCAACATCCCAGGTTCTTCTAGTGCCTGCCCGTGAGTACAAGGACCTCCTTGCCTCTACAATGGGCTGGGCTGAAACCTTCGCACAGTAACACTGTGCTAAATACAGTGCTTTCCACAGCAATAAAAACTGTAGACATTCACCAAGGGCTATGTGGCTGACATACTTCTTAGCTATTTTACATAAACCACCTCAAAGTTCCTTACAGCTACAAGACCAGAAGGCTCCCAATCCTCTAGGCGGGACCTGGGCTTATGGAGAATCTCACAGGAGGTACTAAGAATTAGCTAGAAAGAGTTAATCTGTTTGTTTGAGGATTTGGGCTCAATTGCCAACACTCCCCACCCGCTATGACATCAGACTTAACTCCAAGTTTTATTAGCTCTGGAATCAGCTACCAGTGAAGTTGGTAGACCCCTATTTGTGAATTTCCCTTGTAGTACTAGTCTAGGCATTTTCCCGGGCTAAAAATCAAAAATAAATAAACAAATAAAATAAAGAGAAATAAATAAATAGATGAACTCAGAGATGATTCCAGGCTGATATGAGGCTCAAATCTAGTCAGCATCATCAGACAGAAGACACTCTGTGTCAACCTTCCTAGTCTTACCTTGCATGTAAAAGGTGCCATCTTCACTAACTCCATTATTAGGAAAATAAAGTTACCTCAAGTATTCGGTAGGTGGCTGAGGATCCGGGAAATTCATCAGCACAAATTGCTAGATGACCGAGCTTCTGAGTCACAGTCTCTTCCACAGGAGGCACCTGCGTGTCACACCCGTGACCGGTACAGGAACACCCATGCGGCTCTGATGTCCAGCCAGGCCCATCCTCACCACTTCTGTGTTCTTCATGCTTCTGGCTCTCCAGGGGTAAATCCGCCAGGGGATTGTGGCTAGGTGCCAGTTCAGGGAATTCAGTAAAGAGCCAGTGTCTATCCTTGAAAAATCCATTTTCATGAATTTTGTAGAAGTCATTCCAGTATTTATGGGCATTCACTTCATAGTCAACTGTAAATATTATTAAGAATTGTAAGAATCAGTCTCAAATATTTTCAATTATACCTAATTGTCCTGCTTCACCAAATGTAGTTTTATCCTAAAAGTATCCTTAAGAGTCAGTCTTAGAACATCTTCCCAGGGAATTGCCTTGCTACCTATCTCTCATACATTAATGTCACCCACTTTTCATTCCTAGGAACCCCAGTTTCTGCTAGAACTATCAGACAGGGAGTTTATCTACCAATAATTGTTCTTCTACATCTTTGGATAGCCCTTGACTACAGGAAAATTGCAAAATTAAGCAAACCCCCATGAACTGGTCACACACACACACACTGCAAAAATGTAATTATGTTTAGTTTCAAGGGTCTATTTGTCAGAGACAGACAGACCCTCTGGTATCTGTTGTATTTATTTTCCCCTGTAAATCTTTTATTTACAAACTAAATGTCTCAGGTTTGTTGGATGTTCCTATAAATTCAAGGACTACCATCCATGCAGTTCTTCAGAAGGTATGTTCTTGCTTCTTTAGAATGTGGTGACTGAGCACAAATCAAGACTATTAATGAACACTGAAAAAGATGTATGGCTAAAAGGACAGCAGGTTGCAAAACTCCCTTCCTGAAGTAAGAGTTTTGATGAGCTGGAGGAGAGACCAGTAAATGCGGGTTTGTTTTTCTGATTTTTGCCAACACGAAAACCCTGACCTGAGTTAATGAAGGAATAAAAATCTAAGAAATGGGGGTCCACCACTGACTCTTACCTCTAGGCAAAACACTTAATGCCCTGTGGTCCAAGTTTAATTTTTTTTTTTGAAGACAAGATCACCCTACGTTGCCCAGGATGGCCTCCAGTTCAGTGATCCTTCTGCCTCAGCCTCCCGCGCAGCTGAGTGTATGAAACGCACCACTGCACTTGGCTAACCAGCTCTCTAACTGTAAAAAGAGGATATTGGGCTACGTGATTTTCAAAACCCCTTTCAACTCTATGTTGCTTTATCTAGTCTTTGCTAAACAATGCAGGATGTCTATTTTGCAACTGCAATATATACATATATTCATTTTTGAGACAAGGTCTCATGTAGCCCAGGCTGGATTGGAACTCTATGTAGCAAGGATGACCTTGACCCTACTCATCCTGAGCCTCTACCTTTCTAGAGACACCACCTCTACATTCTAGGGGGTACATGGCTGGTCCGTACTAGGACCTTACTACTACAGAGATTCTTTCAGTGTCTATTATCTTACATTTCCAGCTCTACTTTCAAACGCCTCTCAGAATTAGGGCCAAACAGCTTTAGAGATATTCTACAATGAAATTATTCTTGCCTTCGGCGAGGGCCTCTTTTCCTTTGACCAGGATCATTTCCACTCCGCTACACTCCTCTTTCTTCGTTAGAAGTCCTAAATCTCCGAATTTGTCACCCCAGGAAAAGAAGTACCACCCAATAATCCTCTCCTCCAACAGTATTTAGACCTGACCACATCAGTCTAGCTCTAATGGGAACTCTCCAGCAGAATGTGAACTGTAGAAGCTACACTAAACTGAATGCCACAGGCCGGCCACATCAACATGACTACATGATCGGAAAAAGTAGACACTAGGAAATAAAACAAGAACTGTACCTCCGAAAACAAACCGCAAAGACCTACAAACCCCGATCTCAAGGTTCACCACGATTTCGTTAGAACGCAGCCCCTTTGACTCCTAGCTCGTCCCCTCCACGACCCATTCTATGGCCGAGTTCTTCATCAGGTCAGTAACAAACGGCTCCGGTGGCCGCACTGCGTTTGCCCTGTCCTGGACTCGCGTCCTGCACTGCCGGCGCGGATACCAGGGAGGGAAGAACCGTGCGCACCTTGCTTCTCCGGGCACACCCGCTGGGAGCTGTTCTCCTGCACTTTCCTCTCCGCCGCCGCGGCCTGCTCCTCTGACCACTCCACATTGTCCCTGCGGAAACCAAAAGGGCAACTTAGGGCCGTCATGCGCCGGCTGGGGGGAGTGGCTGGCCCCGAAACGTCTGTCCCCCGGGGGGGGGGGACGAGCCTCAGCTACCGGGGCCGGGCCTCCGAGGGGCAGGGTACTTACCATGCATTGTAGTGGAAGACGCGCGCCGGATCGCTCAGGAACCGGTTCCCGAACTGCCGTCTTTTCCCGTCCTGAGTCTCCGGCACGCCTTCAGGGGAGGAGGCCGCCATGACACCGGAGACGGAAACGTCTCCTTTTCCAGAACGCTAGGACTTCCTGCGAGCCACACCCACTCTTTCCGGAAGCTGCGGCGCCCGCGCGGGAAAAGCGGGAGGTGGAGCGGGCGTGGCGTTTAATTTGAGCGCTCACTGGGGATCCGGGGAGGCTGCGATCCGAGTTTATGGTTCTCCTGGAGTCGATTCCTGGGGACGCTGATGGGCGTGCGGGACCCGGAGGAAGTGAGAGACTGTCGTCCCTTTGAGAGCCAGTTTCAGGGCTGGAACCCTGGCAGCCCCCCCCCCCCCCCCCGTCTTCCTCCAGGAAAGTCTTGACTAGCGGACTGAGGAGGCGGGGTACCAGACTCAGCAAGACCAAGGTCGGCTGGGAGGCTACGCGTGGGTGCGCAGTGGGTTCCAAGAGCATGAAGCTTCGAGTTAAATGGCATGGTCACGTTTAAAAGGAGTATATACATGACCACACCTTTTAGAAAAGCCAGGCTTAATTAACACAATGTCAAGTTCATGATACATGCATACACAAAGTTTGTAATAATGTGTATATATACATTATACATTTATATATTGTACATATATGTATCAACATTTTTAATCTAATGGTAAATCATGTCATATAGTCTATAATTGTGCATTTTCAGCCTTCTGTTTTTTATTTAAAAGTTTTTCCCCTTTATGTGTGTATGGGTGTTTTACCTGCATGTATGTCTGTGTACCACGTGTGATGGGGATATCCTGTATATATGTTTCTCTTATTGGGTTGATGAATAAACACTGATTGGTCAGTAACCAGGCAGGAAGGATAGACAGGACTACAAGTCAGGAGAATTATGGGGAGAAGAGGCAGAGAGAGGCTTCGAGGGAGAAGACATGTAGCCGCTGAGGGAGTAACATGCCGGATTATGGTTAAGCCACAACCTCATGGCGATACATAGTTTAATAAAAATGGGTTAGCAATTAAGAGAGAGCTAGCCAGTAAGAAGCCTAAACCATTGGCCAAACAATTTCTAATATAAGTCTCAGTGTGTTTATTTGGAGCTAAAGCAGCCGTGGGACCAAGCAGAGCAGAAACTCTGACTTCAAAATGGCACCCAATGTGGGGTACCATTATGCCTGGCTAATTTTGAGGTTATAATTACATCACTTTTCTCTTCCCTATCCTCTCCCAAAATCCTCCCATATCCTCCCCCTTAGTCTTTCAAATACATGGCCTCTGAAAATGGACCGATGCCTGACTGTCTAGCCCATGCTGGCTTCGAATACCAGACTCTCTACCTCGTCTAACTTTGCCAGTGCTGGGAATACAACCATGCATCTCCAAATGTTTTATTCTAAACTTGAGTTTTAAAATAATTTTCTGTAAAAAATTATTACATGTATGTGTGTGTGTGTAGGTCAGAGAGATATCAGGTCACCTTGAGATGGAGTTGTAGACAGTTGTGAGCTTCGGGATAGGGGTGCTGGGAATCAAACTCAGATCCTCTTGTGAGGACAACATGTGCTTTTAGTTTGTGAGTTTACACAATGTATTTGTTAGCCTGTGTAACTTATTTTTCTTCAGTGTTTGAATTTTTTTTTTTTTTTTTGGTTTTTCAAGACTGGGTTCTCTGTGTAGCGTTGGCTGTCTAGGTTGGCCTCAAAGTCAGAGAGGTCTTCCTGCCTCTGGGATTAAAGGCCTGTGTTACCTTGGCCAGGCTTTTCTAACTTTTTGTTTGTTTTTCAAGACAGGGTTTCTCTGTGAAACAGATCTGGCTGCCCTGGAGTTAGCTCTGTAGTCCCGTCTGACCTCAAACTCACAGAGATTTGCTTGCCTCTGCCTCCTGATTGCTGGGATTAAAGGTGTGAACCACCACTGCCCAGCTCATCTAACATTTTTTGAAAGGAGTTTGGAAGACATGGTTGCAAGGTTTCTGCCTGTGGTCAGAATACATTGAGAATTGTATTTCAGAGGAGCTTAGGGGCCCTCTGGTGGAGAGCAAAGAGCGCTATCCTACTTAGTGGATGCTTTCAATTGCTTGTAAAACAGGGAGGCTTTGATCTGCTGAAGGTGTTTGTATAAACTGATTTAACAACCTCTTTGTTTTCTTGTTTCTCCACTTTTTCATCCTCACCCCCTACTTGGGAGGCAGAGGCAGTTGGATCTGTGAGTAGTTCAAGGCCATCCTGGTCTACAGAGCTAGTTCTAGGATAGCCAAGGCTATAAAAACAAAACAAAAAGTATGTAGAATATTTAGAAGATATTTTAAAAACGCTGTATCCCATTTGATCCATCATTGACTCGTCAACATTTTGTCTTATATTTTCCTAGTTTTTTTTTTTTGTTAATTTGTTTAAATTACCGAGTTGTGGGTATTGGGTTGAGATGGTCTATGTAGTCAGGCTGACCCTAAACCTGAGATCTTCCTGCCTCATTCACCTGAGTGCTGGGGTCGGAGCCATGCTGCCCCCTTGTGTCCCTAACCATGTCTTAAAGCACTTTTTATCTTATTTTAACTTAATAAAAGTTTGGGGGAATTATTTCATTGCTTTAAACATCATTGAATGTTTTGGATAGCCATAGCACAATTTATTGACATTTAGGCTACTTCAATTTTCTTGCTATTAAAAATTCAGTGTGGCTATGGTGGTGTGCACTTTTAGTACATCTGCTCAGGGAGCCAAAGTAGGAACATTCTTCAGCCTGGAATGAAAGGTTAGTCTGAGCAACACAGTGAGATCCTACCTATTAGACATCCAACACAATAAAACGTTTGTAACTTATCGTATATATTTCACGATTATTTCTTTAGGATTAATTTCTAGGAATGGCATGGATGTAACTATATCCTCTAACCTGGAACTTTTCCTCCTGGAGGGAGGAAGGAAGCTGCTAAGACACAGGAAGCTTAGAGAACAGAAATCTCACAGGCTACTTTCCTTGGGTTAGAGTCCCAAACAGCTCCTGGGAGAGGGGTATCATTTCTGGCAAGACCTCCTGAAAACTGGGCAGGGATCTCTAGGAATGTAGCTTTTTTTTGGGTCCTTCTCCATGCTGCATGGGCAATTGCTAAGTCTCCCACGCATCTGCAATCCCTCGTTCATCACTCCTGTAAGTTGCCCCAGTAAACTCACTGATTCATCCGACTAGACTTGGGTGGTAATATGTCTTTGGTCATTTCCCTGTCTGGGCTGAATAGATGTTTGTTCTCATCTGCCCTGAATAAGAAACCAGCAGGCATTTCTGAGCCACTGGTTATAATTAGATCTGTTACTAAGCCCTGTGGAAGTCAGGAATTCTGATACAGATCTAGATCGTAGAACAGGGTCTGGCAACACTGCATGCAATTCAGCAAGTTGGTGAGTGAATGGGATGCTTGTCCCTGTATGTATCACTACAGAGAGGTGTCAGTTTGTAGTGTGCAACAGTGTAATAGGAAGATGGGATTGCTGTGCAATTTACATTTTTCCATCAGAGCTAATTAAAAGTGTCTTATAGTGCTATTTCACTGATCCAAAGACACACTGCAGTAGTAATTCTAATATTTGTGTGCTGTCTTTTCAGTCAGGACCTCATGTAGTTTAGGCTGGTCCTGAATTTAGCATGCTGCAGCATGATCTTGAACTCTTATCTTTTTGTCTCTGCTTCCAAGTTGCTGGGATTACAGGCCCATACCACTATGCTTAGCTCCTAACTTGGCATCCAGATTCTATATTACTAGACACATAGGTATATAAAAATATTTTCTCAAAGCTACTATGTAAAAAGAGGTTCTTTGTCCTGGCTGGTCCCATGGCCCTTGAGCCCCAGATAAATACACAGATGCTGTATCAGTTTTAAAACTGTTGGTCGGTGGCTTGAGCTTCTTATTGGCTAGCTCTGTCTTAATTATTAATTCATTTCTATTAATTATGTATTTCCACGTGGTCTTGACTTACTGGAGAACACGCTTCTCTTCCCAGGCTCTACATGATGACTCTGTCTGCCTATGTTTCCCAAAATTCTCATCTAGTCCCACCTATCTTCCTGCCTTATTGGCCAACAGTGTTTTATTCATGAACCAATAAGAGAAACATACATACAGAAGGACAACCCCATCACTACTAATCTTACCTTCTGGTTAGAAAATATGGTTACTTTTTGATGTCTCCCTCAGAATTATAACTATAAAGAATAGCTAACACTTATTTTTAATTTTAAAATTGTGTTTATGTACTTACTTTTTATTTAATTACTGAACATGCAAGAGGTCAGAAGACCACTTGCAAGAGTTGGTTTTGTCTTACCATATGGATTCTGAGGATTGAACTCATGTTGTTGTTAAAGCCACAGTCAGTCAATATCCTCAGAAAACTGAGAAGGAGAGATTATAACTGGAAATTGGTGGAGCCTCTGGCTCTCCCCTGCGTGGTCCAGGAAATCCCATTCCCGTCTCTCCAAATCCTGCCCACTCAGAGAGTCTCTAAACAAAGGAAAGGTGCCAAAAGCCCAGTTCCACATTCTTGGTGGTTACTGCATTTCTTTCTTTGATATCCCGCTTAGCTTTTGGTCATATTAGGCACAAACTCAGCTTGTGGTAGACACAGCATCACCCCTCACCTATAATCCATAAAACCTCCCTGCTTTAGCTCAGGTGTGGGGCTTCTCTGGTCTCTGAGACCAGTGAACTCACCTGGGAGATGTTTTGTCCTCAGTATACGTGTTGTTACACTTTTTCAGATTAGCTTGATCTGGCCTATTGAGTCAGTAGAGAAACTTACTATTGGGGGTGGGCAGAAACCTATCAGAAACATAATCTAAATGATCTATGTATCAACTAAAATGACAGAGACCCATCACCTAGACACATTACCTAGACCTTAGGCTTTGGTGATCGCCCTAGTTTCATTGGGGGCAGTAGTTGTAGATCTTTGACTGTCATACAGAGCAGCATGGCCTTTGGCTTCGAGACCCAGACCTGAGATTTGTCTGTAGTGAAGTAACTTGGAGGACTGACCTTACTTTGACCATGTAAAGTAGGGCAACCAACCCAAAAGTGTCCATGAGCAGAACCCTGGTAATA